CAGTACTGAAAACTACAGGAGTAATGTAATGTTTTTGAATAATTTGTATGAAATGCGTGACATTATCAAAATATCAAATTAATAAAAAAATAATAATAAAAAATCCAATATCCGTTTAAAATTCACACGAGACGAACCAGGTAGCGTGAGAATAGGGCGCGGCGCGTGCCGCGGTCTTTGTTGGGGTGTTAATAAAGGTCCAATTGTATTGCATAAGTTACTCATAACTTCTCAAAAGGGGCAATTATACTCCTCAAATACAGCAACTTTTTCTAAAGACAAAATATCTTTTAGTGCTTTCATCATTAACAAAGAAAATAACAATAAATTGATCGAATAGTTTAAGGATTTCGGAAATTTTATGTGATTGCTGGTCATAGTAGTAGTCATTGTATCCCATTAACTTGCACATTTTCTGAAGCATTTGAAGTACAAATCGCACAAGTTACATACATTTAGCAGACGGTATTCAAATTGGAATTTATATGATTAAAAAAAAGATTTAAAAGGTTTTTTTTAGAAATATCTGTTAAACTTAATTGACTACTGCACATTTGATTATTTGATTTCAATAAAAGTGATTTACATAAATTATTTTGGATGAATAACACGAAATCGATATGTTAGCAGTGAGACCAATTCGTAAATTTACCCAAAGACGGTTGGAAGTTCACACGGGACTGGATCAGTTCCCTGGCCGCGTGAGAGAAGGGTGGCAGGTAGCGCGTGCCGAAGCGGCAATTTATAGTCGCGGAGTGAGTCACTTTTGACGTTTTTTCCACAATAGCATCATCAAAAAATCTGAAAAAAAAAATACATTACTAAACCCTTTACAATTTAGGCCCATATAAAAATAAACTAGACTATGGATTCGTAACCCAAAGTGTGAGGTACTGGTGCCTGAAATACTAAGATGGTTTAGAAGCTAGACTTACCACGGAAAGCTAGTTTGACGGTTACATTTCGAATAGATAATATCAGTGTATCATGCTTAATAAGTATTGAGTTTTAAATCGTTTCCCAAAGACCGTTTGAAATTCACACGGGACAAGCCCAGTTCCCAGACAGCGTGAGAAAGGGATGGATTGCCGGCTGTGTGTAGGTACCTAAGCGGGGATACTAGTGCACATAATATTAAAAGAGAACTAATTAAATGATCGGCCGTAATAACATTTGGTTAGCCACTAAAAGCAGCATTAAAATCATTTGGTTGGCCAACAAATACTTGGTTTGCAATAAAAAAAATCTTTTAGCGATCCTTGTGTCGCAAATAATCTTTATATTGTTCAGCAATTTAATCACAAAACAGGCAGCTTAAAATAATATGGGTTTGCGAAGTAAACATTCATATTGAAATGGGAATTCGAATGCTCCAAAAATACCCGACGAAAAAAGGAATTCTGTCATAACCTTGATTTTTCAATTTTCTAACTTCTTTAACTAAAAATATCCTATATCGCCTGATTCTAATTCCTAAACCGCCTCTATGTTTAGATAGAGATAAGACCACCTATATTCAAATCAAGAGTTTCCGGGTTTTATTCTCAGTAGAAACAACATTTTCAGCTCGGTCTGGTTGGTCCGGCTGGCTATACCACCATCTTACCTAAGTCTCTCGCCATTACAACAATGTTGTCAGCAATTTTGTATTCCAGCAGTTGGAGGAAAGATAGCCAGTTACTCTGTGGTGTGGATTCCGATTGAAGTTCTTCCACTTTTGACCTGATCATCACTTTCCATCAGGCCTAAGGCTTTCTTGTTATCGACAAAAAAACCGTTCTAATTTCACACGGGACAGGATCAGTTCTCAGGCAGCGTAAGAGAAGGGTGAACAGCGCGTGCCGAAGCGGTAAAGTGGGGTGAATAAAAACTTAATAAACCGTTAAGTGGTTAAAATAATTTATAGGCTTCTTGAATAATATCCACGTTGGCACGTCCACCCACAAGGTGGACCGACGACCTGATAAAGGTAGCAGGATGGTGCTGGATTCAGGCCACTACCAACCGTGCGATGTGGAAGTCATTGAGGAGGACTATGTTCAGCAGTGGACGTCTTGTGGCTGAAATGATGATGATGATGATGATGATGAATAATAATCTTCTCTAAGGAAATAGTTTATTCTAAAATCCGTTCTAATTTCACACGGGACTGGATCAGTTCTCAGGCAGCGTGAGAGAAGGGTGAACAGCGCGTGCCGAAGCGGTTAAGTGGGGTGAATAAACACAATAATAAGCCGTTAAGGGTCAAGTCAAAAGGAAAATCATTATATTATTGTTGTTAGGCAATTAATATATTATAGCTTACTTTATCATCCTCTGCTTGTTACCTGAAAGTTGTAACTGTTGGCGAAAAAAACCATTAAAATTAAAAATATTGGGTATTTCTTCGTTATTAAATTGTACAATTTTCACTTGCTTATCTATTTATCTAATTTCTATCTCTACCCAATTTCAAATGTTATTTCACATCTCATTAATTTAATTTACATAAAAACTTGACAAGGGTCATCCCTTCGACTACCTGTATGAATAAAATCCGTGTGAAGGTCATACGGAAAAAATCCCATAAAATGTGGATTCCCACAGGAACTCACCTTCGTGGGAACTTATTCTGTGAGAACGAAATCACGTTGGACCATTTAACCTGATGTTCGTTTTTATTTTTTAATACTTTTTTTTATTAAATATGAAATAAAAAGTAGCTTTTTTTTAGATACTTTGACAAACCATAATTTAGTACATAAACTAGTATTAATAAACATGAAGGGTGTCGTACTATATGACGTCATAACAAAGGCAAATAAACACGTCACTCGGGTCGACAACACCACTCGCAACGAAAGAGAGTGCAGTAGGCTTACGTTAAGGCCGAGTTGTACTAATCTAATCTAAACCGAGACTGGCTGATAATCGCCTTCGTCCTATGTTCTTCTGATTATTTTTTTTCGGGTCCAATCTCTAATGAGTTATTTTTCTACCGGTACTTAACTTGGCCTTCACTGGTTGGGTTTTTAGTGGCAGTCAAGCTGTAGATCCTGGCTGTACAGGATTTGTAGCTTTAGGAAAGAGAGGTGGGAATAGTCCGGTTGCTGAAAAACAAACTCTAAACCTGAAGCATTATTACCTACTTAGTTATTATTATTCACTTGGTTTTTCCAATCTACATAGATTTTGTTTAATATATTTTATGAAGTGTATACAGATATTATAATACGAGTACTAGTAGTTCTACTCAGTTTAAGTCTATTATGCCTACCATTAGAAATGCCGATTATGGATGTGTCGCCAACACACAACTCTGTCGTTTGAATGGTTGGGCCACAAAATTGGCGGTTTGGTATTATATCAAAATACACAGTTCATTACGTATTTTCTGGGTGTATCTGTACTGTAGGTATCTACTGGTAAAAAAAAAGGTTACCAACATAACGATAGTGATAAAAATAAAAAAAATAGAAATAATGCTTGTTCATCTAATTCATGATTTCATCAAAACGCAAAGTCTTTAGTTGTTAAAAACGGTTCTAAAAACTATTAAATATTTTTTAATAAATAAAGTAAGGAATATAAGGTATTTACGAAAAAAAAGGCGCTCTATGGAACCATTATCGCCCATTTAGAGGCCCGACATGGTTACCCCAAAAATTTTCACACAAAATCACTCCTCTCACCCACTTTCGCATCCGAATGACGGATGGGAACCAGGAATGCTGGGAACATCCTGAACTTGACAATGGATGTCCATCTTGTTATTTTGAGGATATATTTATCTTTATTGTTAGACAACTGGAAATTAACTTACGTAAGAGTCATCATCCCTCAACTTTACGAAAATTCAACACCATACCATACCATTTAAATAATTTAAGATTTCATGGTTTTCCTTTCATTTGATTTATAAAGTTTGCTATTGATATTTCATCCTTATACTCAACGTTACGATCTCTTTCTATGATCTGAGGTTACGATCGATGCAATAAAAATACAGGATGTAATTTTTAACAGATTTTAATTGGTTCGATTCCCGGTTGTGGCAAGCAATATTTTGGAAATCTTTAAATGCAGTTCTATCGACAGTATTAAGAGTACTTTTCCTCCAGGTGGCATTACAAAATTCCACTCTGTATATTCCTTAGGGCCTTTATGTATATTCCTAAGGATTAGCTGCCTAAGGCTAAAAAAATACAACATGGCTCTAATTTTTAAGCTCTATCTTTTCACACGTCAAAAATAAATAAACAATATCAGAGGGCCACCCCAACCGGAATAATTACTTACCTACTTATTAAGCAAATATTGGTTAAGTGGCACGTGGCATACCATTTAACAGACACGAGTGGGAACAGGAATGATAATGGAACCCACGGGAGCGAAGATTTTTTGTTGCATTCACACGGGAAGTGCGGTGGGAATGGGAATTTTGTCAGAAGTTCTGTTGGAACTTGGAATCCAATGACATTGTTGTTAGTTGAAAAAAAAAGGGTGACTAGGCTTTCATATTTTCATCAATGAAAGAGTGTAATTAATACTACCACGTGTATTACCGTGACTAAGTTTGTGTAATTGATGAGACTTGATAAGCAAATTCATTGATAAATTCATTTTCTAGCTAAGATAATTTTCAAGCAATTTCATTTGTGATATGATTGTTAACCCACGAGGTTGACAAATTACCACCTTTAAGATAGCAGGAGGCGCTAGCTGCAGTTCTACCAGTCGTCTAAACTGGAAATCATTAGGGGTGGCCTTTGTTCAGCAGTGGACGTCCTGTGGCTAAAATGATGAATTTATTTAATTTTTCCCTCACTTTCAAGCCATCTTTATGCTTGGCCTAAGAATAGAATGCTACACACAACACAAACACCTGATTAAAATTAACATGCAGATTTATGTAGAGCTGTTTTGTTGCTCTTTATAAACTAACAGGCGTTTTAACACTTCAGTCTATATTTTACTAAAATGACAGGGTACTTTACTTACCTGGTCTTAAATTACTAATAAAAGTACTAAATACTCATAAATAAATGCAGTTTATTATTAAATTTATGCGTCATCAATCTCACACTAATCTATTTCATCGCTGTATTCTTTTTGTTGTAATTTATCTGAAACAATCAATATTACTATAATTAGTTTGTTAAAATAATGTTTCGTCTGAAAATCAATTAATTCATTCATTATAAACAAAATCAATAAACAAGCTTAGACAGCTCATAAAATGTGATATTTTTCTTAATAAATTGCTTAGGTGAAAAAGTATTATTTTCATTATTTATTAACCAAATTAAGTAAGGCAGATGGCCAGATAATAATAAAGTCCCGTTAGTTTTAGGGCTTGTTCCCACGGAGACATTCCGTTTTTTGCAGGAAATGTTTTAGCAGGATCCCGTTTAGCAGTAAACGTGTTTTAATATTAACTTTAACTAGAACATCCCTTTTGCAGTGTCCCGCAAAAAAATGTAACGGTCCAGTTTTGCTATCTTGCATTTACTGTATCCCGCAAATCAGGATTACGGGACTATTACCACCTCTCTTTCCCACCACTGCAACTCCTGTGTGTAGCCAGGATCTACAGGTTGACCGCCAATAAAAACCCAACCAGTGAAGGTCAAGTTTGTCCCGGGAGAAAGTTAAACTGTCATTGGACCCGCAACGGAATTAATCAGAAGAACATAGGAGGAGTTCGAAGTTAAGGTTCAACTTCCCTCCGTTGCAAAGCGGATGACAGGTGACAAACAAAGGTTCAAATCGCAAATCAGGATTGCCGTGGGAACGAGTCCTTAAAGGTACGGAACCCCAACCTTTACCTTCGGGCTTGACGCACAGCATCCTCGTGCAGAATGGCACCCCGTCGGCGGCGCACACGCACTTGTTGCAATCTACCTCGAACGTCGTGAACGGGGTGCAGGATTCTGTGTTGGCTGGAAGTAGACAAAACACAAGATTCAGAGCGAATTATGAAAGAATGAAAATTTAATCATAAATCTCTTAACTAGTTACTATTTAACTTTTGGATTGACGGACGACAGCATATCAGACTATACATTTTCATTCCAATATAGCTCCTATTACAGCTAAATAAGACTCCCCAGTACCTCGACATGCTATCGTTTGAGAGGAATAATTACAGAGTAATTCTAAAGTAATTGGAATTAATTCTGCCTATCATTGTACCTTAGTATGTATGTAATTACTATGTACATACTATGTAGTACCTTACTATGTAGTAAGGAATGTTACAATATAATAAAGTATAAACTCTTTTACTTCTACAGCCGGGACAATGACATAATTCTGTGGATAAAGTCGGATCTAGTAACCTAATTTAATTGGTATTGGCATTGGTACCTACTGAGACAACAATCAAACATTTTAGAGCAATAAAGCATCGAGTAATGCAATGACAGCTTTTCCAAATTCCTCACACATCAATCAGCTCAGGCTTGTTTACTGTTGTCATACAGATCTTTGAAATCCGCGGAGGTGTGAATTCCGAATGTTATTTGTGTGTCGTGCCTGGAATTGTTCTCGGAATCAGATTGGATTTCCAATTTCCAATTTTCCTTTCCGGTAATGACAATAATTTTCCCAGTATTTGGAAGTAGCGTAATAACGTGTTGTTTAATCAAAGGCAATGCAGCAACGAAATTTTTGAACTTTACATCCTTATAATTACATAATTGCTGAGAAACATCCTAAAAGTGCACATAGCTTTTTACTAATGTTTTGCTATAATCCTTCGAGCCCCGCGAATAGAGACAAAAAAGTTTATTTATTTATTGAGGCATACCAAAAACATTACATACAAACTAATAAAATAAAATAAATAAAAGAATTTAATTAAATCAGTTTTATAAGAGATTTTTATGAGTTTTTTTTAACTTTTTTAATAACTTCTTGAGACGCGTTATTTGTTTTACGAAAGTTTTTTCCTATTGGTGCAAGACCGACTTACATTTCCCCAGCCTTTAATGTTGTATTCTGCAGAAAACACACCGGTAGGAAATCCCAACTATATAATATTATAAATGCGAAAGTAACTCTGTCTGTCTGTCTGTCTGTCTGTCTGTCTGTCTGTCTGTCTGTCTGTTACGCTTTCCCGCTTAAACCTCGCAACCGATTTTGATGAAATTTGGCATAGAGATAGTTTGAGTCCCGGGAAAGAACATAGGATAGTTTTTATCCCGGTTTTTGAAACAGGGACGCGCGCGATAAAGTTTTTCTGTGACAGACAAAATTCCACGCGGGCGAAGCCGCGGGCGGAAAGCTAGTTTCCCATAAACCGTATAGTTGATGGTCAGCTATCAACATGATGAGGGTGAAACTTAGTTTTATGGCGAGTGAAAAACTTTTTGTGGTTTCAATTGCTCCCATAGTTACGTTGGGAGTTTTGATGAGGATAGTTAATCCTTGTCATATTTATTTATTTAACAACAGGTTACTCCAATGCAATTGTGTTGTAGAGTAAACTGAACTAAATCTGAACTGAACACTGAAAAAATGGTTACTACTAACTTCTTAGTAACTGATGCCCATTTTCACCATCAATCCCTAATTTTGAAGTGACCCCTATGAAAACAAAATTCCTGTAAGTTTTTTTTTATCCACAACGGGGAAACTCTTGGCCTGTATCTCACCTGATGGTAAGTGACGATCAGGCCGAAGGTGGAAGCGAGCTTCACCCGGAATCCTCAACCACGGAGGGACAGGCTATCTTACCTCTAACTGCCGGAACACAACAATGCTGTTAACATTGTTGTTATGGCGATAGACTTAGGTAAGATGGTGGTAGCTAGCCAGGCGGATTTAGTACAAGCCCTACCACCAACCAAACCGAACAGCAAAATCTGCTCCCACTGGGAATCGAACCCGAGACCTCTGCGTCTGAAGCAGGTGGTCTTACCACCGACCGCGACCATCACTTCAAAATTAGGGATTGATGGTGACGTTCACTACGGTGAATGTGTTCCAACTAAAAATAACAGTTTCAGTACTTACATCTTCTCCAAAAAAGTAACATATCTTCATCTATTGGTTTGGAAGATGCCAACGCTATCTGAAACGAATCATTGAATTTAATTAAATTTTTCTTAGTTACAACATAGTGGATTTTTTCGTCTCGAGATAAGATAATAATTAGCTAAGGGCTGATTTTTCAATCGTCAGATAACTTTAACTGAAGAATAAGTTTGGCACATTGACAGTTTCAATATGGGAAATATGTCAAAATGACAAGGTTATTCTACAGATAAAAGTTATCTGACGATTGAAAAATCAGCCCTAAAGCGATTGTTTTTCTTTGGTCATTCAATAATAATACTAATATTATTTTTTATTTAATTGGAGCCCTCCTGCAGAGGCAGAGAAATGTATTTCCGTGAAATATTTTAGACAGATAAATATTTTCTTAGAGACTTATTGATTGATTGATTTGAATCTGATGAGGAGTTACTTTTTTTTTACTTATGATTACTTACAAGACCTGATTTTTTAGGCATTCCATTAGGACAACATGATGGATAGAGTTTCTATAATAAGCGTATTCTAAAGGAATACTAATATTAGTTTCATTATATTATTCTGAATATATTAATTTCCGCGTGAAACGGAATCGATTCATAACGCTTTGTTCCTAAACTTTCACATAGTTTTTATAAATTAAATATTAAAAACAATCATAGTAGAAGAGGTATCCAACTCGGTGGACCGACGATCTAGTGAAGGTCACGGGAGCACCTGAATACGGGCAGTGCAGGGTCAAATGTAACACTGTTACTCGTTGGGAAAAAAAATCCCATCCACTCACACTATTACAGATTCACACATTACGTAATTTAAACATCAGGGTATAAAAGATTTTGTTATAAAAAACAATGTACAACATACATTAAAAATACTTCAATAATCTAAAGCTTACTGTAAGAAAATACAAGTTACAGCGCGACTAAAACCTCAGGGTGTGACTGGATGGTAATTTATTCCCAACGAGTGATAAGATATTTTGTTATAAAAAAACAATGTACAAAATACATTAAAACAAAATACAGTAATTTAAAGCTTACTGTAAGAAAATACAAGTTACAGTGCTATCAAAACCTAAGGGCGTGACTGGAAGGGAATTTATTCCCAACGAGTAACACTGTCACAAGCGGAAATCCTTGGGGCCGAGAAGCAGTTTGGTAAAAATGAACAAAAATAGTTTAAATGTTACTTTTATAAAACTTCAGTTCAAAATACTCACAACTAACGAGCAAAACGTCAGCACCGGCAACATGACGATAAGAAACTGCAATCATTAACAATGAACGAAATCAATTTTATGCACTGATGATTACGACACTTAATTGGAAAGTGTGCTGGTTAAATATAAATAAATTAAAAGCGAAACTTGTGTTTTGCTTTCTTCGAAACATTTGGATTTCAATGTCAATTATATCTTGAAGATACGGTATCAAATTAGTGTGTAATTGGAGAGCGAATTAATTTACAATAATAACGCCCGTATTCACAAACATTACTATGAGGTCTCACAGTGCGCGTGGACACACAGGGTGACATACGAACCAATCACAGAGCTCTATTCAACGCTGTGCGTTCGATTTGCTGCTATCGCGTTCTTGAATACGGGCATTAATTTGCATATATTTCGCCAGAACTATACTTAAATTAGATACTGCATACGAATACATAGAATAACAATTAAATAAGTAATTCAAAACACAGAAAAATATGGCGTTACAGAATTGTTTAACCTTCAAGCAGTTTTGTGCTGTTTTCTTAGAGTAAGTAAATTAAGTGAAAAGAAATATTTAGGTACTTCACATCATCTTAAATGAGATTTTCTGACTAAGAAAGTAATAACGAGCTCAGAGATTACAATTTAATGGAAGATTAACGTCGCGCGCAACGTTGTAACGTTCGTGTGAAGTCTACAAAGGCGTGCTTACTCTTAAGAAGAAATTCCGTAAATCCTGTATAATCGTCCCGCCAAGACAGAGCCTCATTGAAAATCAATCTCGTATCTCGGGTGTAATCGCGGCATAATCCAGTGTGCGACTGTTTGGACAACTGAAAGAAAGGCGGGAGCGCACAGTGGGCAACTCAGAGCTACTAGCGTGGTCAAAAATGGATATAACTTTACCGTGCCATTATTTATTTAGCTTAACACATATTTCACTGTAATTACAAGAAATATGAATATAAAAATGATTAGTGTGGCAATAATTTATTTACTTAAAACATATTGTTCTGCCATTACAATAAAACCATATATGTTATTAGTCACGGTGAAGGAAAAATTTCCATTTATCAATTTTAGCCGATATGCTTAAGAATCACATTATAAGTATTGTATTTGAAAAGCTAGACCTGGAGGTCGAGGGCTGAAAACTTTATTCATGCAGGTACATTTAGTAGTGGAAAAAATTTGAAGAAATGTATGTAGCCAATAAAATGTAAAATATTATGAATATTTAATTTTGTGCTTTCAATTTTTTTACGTGCACTGCACTTACATTTTTATATTCACTGAATTTACAACTAGAATTTTATCTCAAAAGCGTTAAACTCATGGTAAAAGTGATAGCTTAATTGATACCATGCGCTAAAACATTAAACTCCAATTTTTTAAATCCATGCAATTCGATTATAGCCCACTGTGCACTACATGAAAGTTTCATGCCCCGCCTACTCTCCCTCGCACTCTGTTGAGCTGACTGTCTCTTTTCGCGTTTTGTTACAATGGAGCAAAATGTATAAAGTAGGCTTTGTTTTATGAACGGCTGAAGTCACCGTATTTTCAGCTGTATAAGTTAAAAGGACGCCCATATAAACAGATTTAATTTAAAGTCGATAATATGTTTTAGGTGCTATTTGTATTATTTTTTTTTACTTTATTAGGGTAAAAAAACAATGTTGAATACAATGTTGTTTAAGAAATCGAATTGCAAAAAAATTAGTAAATTCAACATCAGCATCATTTACCACAGCTTACTTACTTTATATTATAACATAAGTCATTGAGAGTGATAATAAATAGTATGATAAAGAAACCCAAGATACAAGCTAGGCAAATATGTAAATACTAGGTTAGTATCTAGTGCATGGCTTTCTTTTGAAAAATTATTTACAATATTTGGACCGATTATGTCAACTGTAAGTATTTACTTAGATCTTTTAAATCTGTCAATGGGCTCTAAAACGGGATATCATTTTCGATAACGCAATTGAGTTTTGAGTCAAATGACGTCCACTGCTGGACAAAGTCCTCCTTCAAGGATGCTGAGCGCATCCAGATGCTTCCCGCGACCCTTACCAGGTCGTCGGTTCACCTAGTGAGGGGCCTGCCCATACTACGCCCTCCGGCCCGTGATCGTCACTCGAGAACTTTTCTGCCCCAGCGGCCATCAGCTCTGCGAGAGCTATGTCACTTGATTTTAGGAATACTTCGGGCTATGTCGGGGACTTTGGTTCACCTGTGGATCTCCTGCGGATCTCCTGAAGATCTTCTGAGGATCTCCTGTAACTGAAAACTACTGTACCCACTTACACTGTGTCTTTACTCTGTGGCGAGGGTTTATGCTCTATGCTCTTTGACTGAAGGACGGACGTTTTATTCAAATTCAAGTGCGATTGATCGTGTTTGTGTTTTTATTTTATCTCTGCCTCAATCATAGCAAATGAAAGGTAATCAAAGAGTTTTCCAGCGCTCGTAAAAGGTTTGCTCAGTACTTACGTGGAAGTTCTCGTTGGTTTATTCGAGTGGATCTATTTTCCACTTTGGCAGAGTTAAAGTACCTATATTCTGGAAGGTGTTAAATTAAAAAGGGCTTTGTTTTTCGTGAAGAGACGTACGTACGCAAAAGATATAATAAGATTCAAAGCAAACCGAACGCCTACGCTTATTTTTATAGCAAAGTGTTCGGTGTGTAAATGTCAGTCTAGTAATAATGTGTAGGTACCTACAAAATAGTTTTATTAAATACGTACCTACATTCATAAAATTTGCAGTAATATTTTATTTCGATTATTCATTTTATAAGACGATACTTACGAGTGTATTATACGATTATCATACCCACTATCGCATGCGATTTTCATTCTCACAATAAATTTCTAACTACAGTTTTGTTAATCAAGATATACCTACCCAAGTTGGCTGATCTCTAGATCTAAGTTAACTAAGAATAATAGCGCGGAGCTGAATCTCGCTGTTCTAATTAGTTGAAAATTCTTGAAAAATTATACAACAACTTCAATACTGGGGCAGCTACTAACCGCGGTGCATGCAGAAGCTCTGAACTTATTAAGAGATGATAAAACCACATTTGGATTTTTTAATTTAAATTAGCATTAAGTTAAATATTTTGCATTTGATGTGCCTACTAGATGTGCTGCTGCAACAGTTACAGTGTAGTCAATATAAAAAATATTCAATGACTAAACACTGTATTTCAGATAGGTCCTGGTACCACTTTTATTTGGATTGGAAACCCCTTATCACATTGAGGTAAATCCGATGGCGTATCAAAGCAAACAATAGTTAGGTATAATAAGAGCGATTTTGCTATTTGTGTTAGATCGTTTCATCCACGAAGACGCGCCCCACCAATTTTTGGTCAAGGGAAACGCATGCTGCGGGGAGTTTGACCCGAGCAATCCGAGCGTCATTATCGTAGTGGGCGTGTGCACTCATGTATAATTTAGCGTGTACCGATAACACTCAAACATTAGCGGAAGAATGGTGGGGCTCGTCTTCATGGATGAAACGATCTATAACTGTACGTACATAAGACGCCAGTGCTAATCTTGATGTGCATAATAGGCGCCTATTGAGATAGAATCTGCAAACTCATGTTTTGGTTGACGCAATCCACCAAGTAGCTTTTCCGGGGCTGCACTGCAGGTGTCCATGGCTGGCAGTAATTACCTACCATCAGGTGATCAGTCTGCTCTTTTGTCTCCTGTGCCATAAAAAGAAAGAAGTACTCGTTAATAACATTTAAATATTATGTAAGCAGTATTTATTACATTATTGAATATACATAGATAGGGGAGACCGGGTACAATAGTACCACGGGTCAATAGTAGTACCATCGGCGATATTTCTTCATACAAGCGACGTTAGATTGTGTGCATAGCGTCAGAATATGCGTTTTTTGTGTTTCCATCCGCTCACCAGTCGGCGGCGCTTGTGCTGAGAAACGAAGGTGTACAGGAAGGATTTTTGTTTTTTGCCCAGCCGCAGTAAGTTTTTATGTCAAATATATGAGCCCATAAGTTGCCTAATATGCTATTTGTTACCAAAGTATTGTTGTCAATAGTTTATCTAGGCTCTAAACTTTGTATCGACAGCGAATTATTGGCATTCACTGTGAAAATGACTGAATTTTAGGTGAGTTCTCTTGACTACCAACTTGGAACAATTGTACCAGTCTCCATGGGGTCAATTGTAGCGGTACAATCAACCCCGTGGTACAATTAACCCCCGGAACCTTATTTTATACTTACTACATAATATTTTAAATTGGTTTTAAAGTACCTATACTTATAATAAGATAAGTTATTATAAAACATTCACGTGGTTATTTTACATTTTTACAATTATATTTTTACAATTACAGGCATACTTACCTACTGAAAATATAGTCTAGGCTCATTCATAGTTGCATGCATTAAGCATTAATTAGATACATACTTAATGTGTTTTATTAAATAAGTAGATAAAAAGGTGATATAAGTACCTAAATGCCTACTTAAAATGTTTTAATATAGGTTTCTAAAACCCTTCTGAATATGTACATTTTAGCTTAATTCAGTAAGTAACTAAGTATTTGAACATTTTGTTTTAGATGCCTCGGCGTAGAGTCAAAAGTACGGATCGCGGATCAACGGATCTATTCCTTTATGAACAGGCTTATGAAAAAATCTTAAAAGGTCGAAGCAGTAGTAGGTATAAATAATCAGGGTCAATTGTACCAGGGGTCAATTGTACCCTCATACAAAAATAGATTTTTCAGTTTTGATATTTCTATCATTGTTATTATGCTTATTGTTGTTTCAGATGCAATATCCGAGCCAAATAGATGGCATATAATGTAGAAACAGTTAGTTTTTTCGTTTTTATGGAAGAAAAGTTATTGTGTAGTTTTTAAACTTAAGTGTTGATTTTTCATACTTGTTCCTAAATATTTTCGATCTCAATTAATAAAGACTGATGATTGTAGGAGATTAAGAGAACAGAATACCAATAAAGGTGATGATTAGATAAACATAACTACTTTTACTGCCTCATATATTATTGGTACAATTGACCCGTTGTAGGGGTCAATTGTAACATGAGACATCGTACAGTTCAAATTCGTTTTTCATTAAGTATTCGAAATAATAGTTCAACTCTGCATGCTTAAATTTGTAGCTTAAGAGTCTAGTTTTTACAGCATCCTAACAGTAAGTTACATTTCATTAGATTTCTCAATATTGAACAATTTCCAAAAAATGGTACTATTGTCCCCGGTCTACCCTACATTTAGATTTTTGAATTGTCCTAGTGTCTGTGCGTACCTAATTAGAAAGATAGAAAGAAAGAACAAATATTTATTTGGTATCAAAGATATTACAATACAGATCAACAAAAGAGCAAAAAAAAACAGAATTATTTGTACCAAATTGGTCTCTGCTCAGTATTAGGCCATAACGTACTCGGGAGCACGTTACGGCCACTGGTATTCTGCAGACACCATGAGAGGGGGGCACGTGGCCCACAGCGAACGTTACAACTCACAACATAACAAATAAAGAAAAGAGAAGTAAATTAAATAAGTAGGTACATTATTTTCTGCTATTGTGCAATTTTGTGCTATTGAGCTATTTTGTGCTATTGAGCACCTTATAAATGAATATGAATATAATAATAATTATAGGTATCAATGTAACAGTTGATGGTGCAACTAAGCCCCCTTGCCCACGGCGACTTTTTGCAGTGAAACCATGCAGTAGCGATTCTGTCGTCCGATTCGGTCTCGCGTTTGCATCGATACAGTTGCGATGCTGTAGTGCGTTAGTAGCGCGTTGGCATCATTCTGTAACGCGTTG